ACATATGTCTTTTTCCCTGTCATTTGATCACACCTGACCTGACCTTCAGGACCTTCACTGAAAAAATAGGAACGTTGCAAGAAACAAACATTGACCATCGTTGTTCCAACAGCTGGTGTTCGGTGTTCTAAATATATACAGCCCTGCCCCACGTTCCGTAGACACGATTGACTCGGGACGTTAGATTGATTCCAACTGCCGGTGCGGCCGAAAACAGCTAGAAAGATGGTTGACCCGGAGAAGTACAAAGAAGAGGATAACCAAGTTCTATTTTTACGCGTTTGAGGAAACGTGGCGAACGTTTATGGTGGCTATGTATAAATATGTACACTCCTTGTTCACAGTCAACAGTGCGTGTGTGTTAAAGGTATGATATGGGTTCCCTCTGGCTCATTGAATCTCTTGCTGGATTGAAGCTCATGCTTGAGACTGTGGCCGGGGGCTGGCAAAAAGTTCAAAACTAGCACCCATCAAGAGAACCAAACGTCATGAAGACCCACCATCGTCAGCTAGCTTTTTTGGGGTTACTAACCACCTGCGCCGCCGTAAACGAATCGCCACAATATACTAGGGATTTAATTTCTCAATTGAACGGTCAGTGCCTTACTGACTTTTACCATGTTCTGCCTGATCATGATCAACGTGCAAGACTAATATTCCAAGCTGAAAGCACTAGGCAGGACTGGCGTCGACATTATCCCTCCCCAAGTCATAGGTGGCTCCGATTTAGACACAATCTCTTCCTCAATTCATGAGCCAGGATTTGGTGATATGCCCTCCAGTTCTTCGCCTCCCCCACTGAATAGAGGTGACACGTTACTAGGTATAAATTTACTAAGTCATCCTTCTGGGGAGCTTCGCAATGGTCCAACGGTTGTGCCTTATGCAATTCACATCCGAACCCCATCAAACAAGAGGATGAGAGAGGACGAACTTCCCATGACGTTCAGTATTCACTCTGAATCCCGAAAACCAACCGAAACACTTGATTTATTGAAGGAATTTGGAAAGTATCCAATGCAAGACAGCTCGGCCAACCTTGTTGAAAGCCCCATGCAGGCTGTATCTCCTCATAGGGCGACTCAAACTGATGGAAGTCAGTCTCGTGTTCTGATAGAACACAAACGAAGGATTCTCTCAATTGATCCTGTTCATACTCTTCAAGATTCTTTGATATTATTTGAAAATCAGATTCAATCTCCGGTGCTTACAACGCCGCGGATGACACCAGACGGCTCAGTCAGCCTTGACGAGGAACTGGAAAGCGACAGAGCCTCCGATCGAGCGGCACCAATTGATAGGACACCTGTTCAAGGAGACAAAGTGGTAGAGCCCGAGGGAATCGTAACAAGAACCGGCCCGAATTTACAAAGCAACATCGCTCTCGAAAGTCAACCTTCAAATAGTGGTGAGGATAAGCTGCTGAGACTTGAATTTACTCACGAGATTCTTAAAACACACGACCCATTAACAGAAGATAAGTTGGTGATAGAAGAAATCAAGAAACTGAATGAGCATTCAAAAATCTACATTTCTGAAAGCAACTTCATTGATGCTTTGAAGATAATCGGAAAGTGTGCCCGCATCATGAAAAGGGATGGACCAATTGAAATAAAGTCCAGATATCCTCATTGCAACCCCAAATCCCCAAGAAACTGCTACGTAGAAAGCCAATTTGAAACACTGATTATCAACAACGATGCGTGGATTGCCTTTTGGAATCAAAGAACTAAAATCAATCTGGAAAAGGTCATCCCTAAGAAAACTCCAAAATTTAACAAAATCTTTCCGCTTTTTTTATTTTATGTTGAGATGATCGATGCGATTTTTCCCAAGATTGAGGGAACATCTCCAAATGAACATGATGAAAAACTACTTGAATCAGCCATCAAGGTTATCCGAACTATTCAAAGTCGAAATCTAACCAAACAAGAATTGATTAGAAGTCACGTTGGAATAACAGGATATGACATTTTGACAAATGTAGGTCATGGTCTTAATACACTACTTTGGAGATGCTTGAAGATTTGGATACATAAGTCAGGTAGGCAGAACGTTTTGGAAACTTTCTGCAACCCAACACAAATCATGAATTTTGAGATTTTCATCAATAAAATCTTTTGTCTTTCGGTTGAAAATTTCCACATGAAATTATTGAAGAGATCAGCTGGTCTTCATTAATCAATATAGGTATGACTAAATAGATTAGATGCTTAAATGCCATTGTTCTCTTGGAAGTTGTTCCTCCTCATGTTGTTTATCATGTGTGTTTTGAAAACTGGATAGATGCACACTCACACAAAGGTTCTTGGTAATGAAATCTCTAAGGATTCCAGAGTTTCCCACCTAGTCAAACAAAAAAGTGCAAAATCTGTCATTTCAAACATTGTAGGTCCAGTAATTGCTTAAGTCAAACAATTGTTTAATTTACACCCCAGAGTAATATATAAGTCAAAGGTAGATGTAGATGATAGAATATGGCCCCTCAAATAAGTGGAAGAGCAATACAATGCAGAAGTATCTTTGAATCAACAAAGTTGTCTGAGTTTCAGCATTTTTCATTGTATGATACCACCAAATTTACCCCTCAATTGTACAATAAGAGAATGGTTGGACAGATGGATAAAGATGTATCATGTGGGTCAGGAGTATATAATGTAGAGTGGAAAATTCAATCAAAAAAATCAACAACAAAACACGTTTTTATGGTATGCTGAATATCCAGCCATTCATTATGGAAAAATAATCATTTGTGACATTGGCTTTATTTTTGATCTATTCATATTATTATAGAGAAGAGAATATCTGCATAAATTGGTATTTAAAAGAAAGGAAAAGAATGAGGTTACTGAATTGACCCATGACCACCTGTCAGGCTTATGCTACTTACGATAAGGGTTCGTAGTGCTATAGCCGTAGACTGAAGTGAATTAAGATGAATCTGAGATTAGTTTTCTATCGATGCTCAGGACAAATGCTCTGTGAGGCTTACACGAGCTTCCTGTAGCTATTGGCCAGGGCAATCCAAACCTCGTACAGATTGTAGAGTTGGGAATAAGGGAATAGATAACAAGTAATAGATAACAGCCGGTGTTACCAATACTTGTACTGTTTTTGAGAAAAGGTTTTCGAGTGTTTTTATAGCTATGTGTAAGATATAACTATCCTAGTTCAAGAGGTAGTTCTAAAAGGGATTTATTCTTCTAGTGAATGCTCTTCGAGATAGGTGGTTTTAAGGTATATCTTGTGATAGTAATAAAATGTAACTCTGAGGAAAAAAGGAAGGAAGGCTCCCAATCATCCCTCGAGTCCTATTCTTAAATATTCTTAGCTTCAATTCTAGGGTAGTCCCTTACAATTAATCAATGAGCTCATAGCTCAAGTTTAATTGAGGGTCTTCCTCTGGTCCGAGATAGCCTGGTTGCTCTAGGTAATGTTCACTCAGTATGTTTGTATTTCCTGTTTGTCTTAAACAAGCCTCCACTTGTTTGTTCACCTGTTGGTGATCTCATCAATCTTCTGTTATAGTTTAATGTTGTTATTTCATCAATTTTCTATCTTATGTGATTTCAGTTATTTGTTTGTTATGTATTTTCTCTCTATTTTCTTAATCTTGGATTTATTATATGATTACAACATTCTAACTCTACATACTTATAATTATGAGTTATGTTTATTGTATCTTAATTGATATTTCTTTATTACTTGTCACTGTCAAGAGTGTCACTACAGGTGTTACACTCTTGCTAGTTGACACCACCCAATCAACACAGTCACTGCAAAGATTTTTAACCTAAACAGTGTTCAAACAGATGGAATCATTCATTATGTGGTGGGTGTGAAGCTGCTGTAGAATGTAATATCTGACCAGTTTGTAGGCAGTGTTGGTGGTTAGAGGCAACAATCCAGTACATGTATCAGCCAATTACCATCTTTCATCAATTAACTTGTCTGACAAGCTAGTCCAACAAGTGCTTGGATACATATGTCCAATTGGGTTGGCAGCCTGGAGGCAATGGGCTGCGGATCTTTTTGGACAGAGTCAGCACATGCACAGACTTGCTTGTCCAACAAATTCATTGATGCAGTGCCCCATACAAGTCTTCATTTCATATCAATGATAAGTTTTGGGATGCACAATCAAGCCAAAAGGGTTTATTTTCATGACATATGAAGTAGGAGCAAAAATAAAGGGAAAAACATTCAAATGAAAATTTTCTCAAATCAGTTATACCCAAGTGTCATTCCTAAGGTTGATAAAAATTTTGGGCTCAGGAATTTAGCTGATGCTGGGTTGCAGAAGTTTACTTGTGGTTGAAGCAATCGGGTAGAGAAAGCAGGAGTCAAGAAAGAAGAAAAAAATCAAGAAAGGAAAGTGGGGCACTCGAAGATGTAAGAAAAATATCAAAAGGGGATTCTATAGAATCTGACGCGTTTGAAAGCATCGTAAGAATGATCGTTTCGGAATACACTAATGTCAGGTCTCCTGAAGCACCCTCAGGCTCCCTCCCACTCCACCTGGTGACGAGGATAACGAATTTCTTGCGACTCGTTACTTTCATAACGCTGCTTTGGAGGAGGGAGAACTGCCAGCTTCTAGACAACAGATCAGAAAACAGCATGAAGATTAGCAACCGGCATCTAGGGTTTTTAGGGTTGATAGTTGTTTGCATTGCCTTGGATGAACTACAGGGTGCCGAAGATTTGCTTTCTCAGTGGGAGGGTGAGTTTTTGACTGCCTGTCTTTGTATGCGCAACCGGTACCTAACTTTGTACGACTAACTTTCCAAACAACGACCAGCCGGTCGAATTGGTGATGGCCTTACCACTCCAAAAGTCATGGATGGCTCAAATTCGAACACAGTTGCTTCCACGGCACAAGCGCCAATCAAAGAAACTGATTTCACACCAAAACTCGATACTCGCCCCTCTAGCTTTCACCGTGAAGGCGATGTGCCAAATCTTACACCTTCGCTACTCCGGGGCAACCGAGGGGAAAAGCTACTTCGATCCAACCTGAGAGAAATTAACAGGGAAACGGAGCGTGTCATGCGTTTGGGAACTCACATTCAAACGTTATCAAACAGAAGAAGGGCAGAAGAGATTCGCATAAAAGTCAACCCTTACTCCGGATCCTCAAATCCACCGGAAACACTTGATCTTTTGAAGAAACTGGAAAATAATTACAAGCCGCCAGACCCCATTGCCAACTTGGACGAGATGCTGAGACGGGCTGTGTTCCATGATAGTACGGATCTAGCCAATCACCCGACGCCGGGCAACTCAGCCAACCTTGACGAGATCCTAAGGCAGGCTGTTAGAGCAACACAACCTAATACGACTCCGGTTCATATAGGGGACAAGAGAAAGTTTTCTTCGATTGATCCTGGTCATCCTAATCAAGCAATGTTGAGAAATTTTGGAAACCCTATCCAATCGCCAGTCGTCCACAAAGTGCATCCAATATCAGGCGCCTCGGCCAGCCTCGAAGAATTACTGCAACAGGCGGTATTATCTCGTAGCACGACTATTCTCCCTACTCCCAAGTCGGCCAGCCTAGTCAAGCTTGATGAGATCCTCATGCAGGTCGTGTCCTCACACGGAGCGACACAATCTCACTCGACTCCTGTTCAGCGAGAAAACGAAAGTATTGCCCTTCCGAATTCCGGCCTTGCTGATGTCCATACCGAAGATCAGATCCAAGTTCCAGCTGTCCACGAGAGGCGAACGGACAAGACTCCCAAGAAATCAAGCGAGACTGTAAGAGAAAGTACTAGTACTCCCAAAAAGATCAATACTCTTTCAAGTCAACCTTCAAGCAGTCGTAATTCTCAGTTTTACAGGCTTGAATTTACTCACGAGGTTCTTGGGACGAGCGACCCACTATCCGAAGACAAAATGGTAATTCCAGAAATTAGGAAGCTGAATCCAAAGGGACTTGATAAGATAAATCCAAAGAAAGTTGATACGCAAAATCCAGAGCAAGTTGATAATCCGAATCCAAACAAGAATATTGAAATCGTCATATATGAAAGGAACTACAAGCGTGCTTTGAAGATAATGAAAAAGTGCGACAGCATTATGAAACTCCACACATCAATTGAGTTAAAGGCCAAATACTCCAAAAAAACCCCAAGAAGATCATATGTAGAAGCGTATTATTCAAAGCTATGGCAAAATTCTACTGCATGGATTGCCTTTTGGAATAAAAGAACTAGTACCATTGACTTTGAAAAGGCCATCCCTCAGGGCCCTGAAAGGTTAAAAAAAGTATTCTTTCTCTTCCTATTTTATGCTGAGATGATTGGCACAATATTTCCCAAGGTTGAAGGAAAATCTCTGGATGAAAATGATTCAACATTTCTTGAGACTGCCATTGAAATATTCCGTATGATCCATAATCCAAATCATGATCCCAAATTGAAGATGAGCAAAGACGAATTACTTGAATATCTGATCAGAACAGAAGGAGATGAAATTTTGGGAACTCTTCATGATGATAATCTCACAACACTGGTTTGGAGGTGCTTGAAGATTTGGATTGGTAAATCAGGTAGAGAGAAGATAAAAGATGTTTTCTTTTCAAAGACACACACAGCTTCAATCTTTCAGGTTTTCTTCAACAAACTCTTTTGTCTTTCAATTGAACATTTTAATAAAAAATTACTAGCAATATGACTTATTTTCCATCAAGCGAAAGACATAAAAAACAGCTCCATAAGTAGTAAACTTCACTGAAATTTTCCCATGTGGCATTTTGTAATTGTTATGAGGTTTTTTTTTCCTTCTCTAGTCTATAGAAAACTAAATTGATCCCAATAAAGACATTCATTGATGATAAATGTCTTGCATCTTACCTTGGCATTTTCAAGTTGAGTATTTACAGTGAAAAATCATATCATGAAGAATTATGCAAGCATTAGTTCAAATATATGGAGATTTCATATTTGAGTTGAAGAACAAGAGGTATGATCTAGAAGTGGCATGGGTATGGTATCTAGAATGAGTTGGGATAGGATTTCACCAAAGGGAATAAATTACCACAGAACTGAAGAAAAATTGCTTATTCTGGTGAGTTTAATTCAAAACAGGTTTGGTGCCTAAAATTTTGGTTTACACAAGACTACTTACCTGCTTTAGAGTTTCAGTGGGTACTCCAACCATCCCAGCTCTCTCAACTTTTCTGTCTTTCCCTTGGTTTTAAAAGAGTAAAAAAAATCAAAAGATCCTCTCTTTAGGTTCTTTTATTTTGTCCCTGTGGAATGCTGTTTTCACCATTTATTTCTAAAGCATCTCTGGGGATGAAGGTTGCAAGGTAACTTTTTTCTAGTCAGCCACATTTATTTTACTTGAAAATTCACATGTGTTCAACAAGTATGATTTTGAAATTCTTAATCATTTCAAAGAACTTTCTCATTGACCACCTATTAGCCCAGCTTAACTGTTTGGAGATTTGCCAATCAGCCCTTTGTAGACACTTGTAAGTTGTGAAATTATTGGCCATAGCCTGGAATGTTGTTGTTTTGATTACGTGTTTTGCCTCTTTGAAAAGAAAATCCACATTGCGTCCAGATGAGGGCTGTTGTAACACGTGTGTTACATCCCATCAACTCGCCGCAGCACGACACTGAGTACATATGACTTGGGATAACTCCCAAGTCATATAGTTGAAGTAACAATCATCATCCACCATTTCTGGTGTCATAGCCACAATAAGGGCAAACATTTCCTCGCGAAAGGTCCCCAGCTGTTCCCAGATTCCATGCTAGAATTTACTACTTTGTTACAAGTTCCTCCTTTGGAAGCATGTTCCTTACGCGAGGGGTGCTTTGCACCAGCCCAGGCTCTAGTGGAGCCCGAAGCGGAGGAGTTGAGTCAAGTTGGCCTTTCGTCCAGTATCAACTCTTGAGTCAGAGTGCATAGGAGTGCATGTACGTTCTGTCTCCGATGATGCAGGGGTCAAGTGTCTTCTTGCTGTTCAATCCTATTGCTCTTTACTTCACCAGAAATCGCTGCAAACTAGTTTGACATTCAAAACTATTGATTCAGATTTTTTTTTTGGGGGGGGGGGGGCATCCGGAGAGGTGAATTGTACCTCCTCAAACTTGGTCACATTCAACGGAATCAAAAAAATCATGAAGATCGCCATTCGACACCTACTCTTAGTATTTTTGTCCTTGATAGCCTCCGGTGCTTCCTTAGATGACTTGCCACGAGTTACCAGGGATTTTCTTTCTCGTTGTACTGGTGAGTGTTTTACAATGCGCTGCCTGTTCGTAACTCTGTACAACTTATATGTTCCATGAAATGGCCACCAGGTACCACTGGCGGCGGCGTTACTACCCCACAAGACATGGATGGCATAGATTTGCAGGCAAAATCTCCCACACTTCAAGGGACAGCTAAGGAGATCGATTTCAGCTCGAATCTTACCAGTAGCCCTTACGGAGCTCGACAAAGAGGTGATTTGCCAAGCTACAGTCCCCCGTTGCCCCCAGCTGAATATAAGGAGAAAGATTCATTCCCTGGTTATCTTATCGGGGAGGTTCCAAGGGGATCGAGGCTTGTGCCTTCTAAAGCGCACATCCGAATCGCAGCAACTAGAAGAAAAAGAGAAGACAAATGTTTTGTGCAATCTGAGATCTACCCTGAGGCCAAAAAACAGCTCAGAACGCTTGATTTGTTGAAGGGATTCGGACAGTATACCCCGCCAGACCCCTCAGCCAGCCTTGATGAGGTGTCAAGACAGGCTGGTTCCTTTCATAGGGTGGCAGAAACTGATGCGACTCAATTTCAGATAGATAATGAAATAAACGTTGTTCCGATTAATCCTGTTCGTACAAACCAAGAACTCATGAAGGCCCTTGAAAATCAAATCAAAATCCCAGCTTTCAAAAGGACCCGAAAAGATAAAACCTCTGTGCGATCTTCATTGTGTTCAACGTTCAACACGTATCAAGACTTTGATTTCCCTAGCAGATCAGTCAGGGGTTCTACCTCAGAGAAGTTGGGGCTCATACCATTAATGAACGGGCAGGAACCTGCTTCCCATCAAAAAGACACTTTAATTCGAGAAACCGACAGAAACCGACAAATCCATAGTCCTCTCGAAAGTACTGGAAACTTGAAAGCCAGTCCAACAACCACTGATGAATTAGCTCCTTATCAAGTTGAGATCGGTGTTGAAACCCTCAAAAATCCCAGCAAAATCAATGCCCTCACCAGTCAAGCTGCAAGTACTCGCGATGATCGGTTTCTAAGGCTTGAATTTACTCGTGAGGTTCTTGAAACGGACAATACATTAGCAGAAGATAGAATGATAATTCAAGGACTCGAGCAGCTAAATGAGGAGATGAAACTGACAATTCACAAAAACAAATTCCATCATGCTCTGACTGTTTTTGCGAAGTGTGACTTCATTATGAGGTCACAAACTTCGGTTGACTTACAGTACAAGTACCCTACAATGAACCCTAGGAGGTACTATACACAAAGCCATTTTTGCAAGTTGTGGAGAAACAGTACCATGTGGTTTCAATTTTGGACAGAAAGAACTGGTATCAACCTCCAAATGGCCATTCCTCAGCTTAGCCCAAGATTACAAAAGATACTACTGCTTTTCTTGTTTTATGTGGAGATGATTGATGAAGTGATTCCCAAAAATGAAAGAGTGTCTTCAATTGAACATGACTCAAGTTTGTTCACATCCGCCATTGAAATCTTCATGATAATACAAAATCCAAATGATTTACCAGAATTGAGAATGGGAAAGGAAGAATTACTTGAATATGGAATTGACATAAAAGGAAAAGAAATATTAGGGAGCTATAAAGATAACCATAATACATTGCTTTGGAGGTGCCTTAGGATTTGGATTGGCAAGTCAGGTAGAGATGACATAATAAAAGTGTTTTTCAGAGACTATCGTTCAGCTTCACTGTTCAAGGTCTTCTTCAATAAAATATTCTGTCTTTCAATTGAAAATTTCAACCAAAAATTATCACAAAAAGCATCCATAATCAAGTAGCAACATGCATCACTGATCAAGTGGTAATTTTAATCAGTTACCCTCATATAGTTTTTATTTTCTCTATTTTTTGAATCAATCATTTTATATGTTTCTTCCTTGCCCTTGTATAAAGAAAATATCCTATGTCCTTATGAAGATACCTTTTGTATTCAAAATCTGTATGTATGCATCCTTTGCCTTCGAATGGTGTCAGTTTGAATAATAAAATTTCTACATTTGGATAGGCAACAAATTTTGACCACTTCAGCAAGCCAACTGGAGTGCCGCATCCTCAACGTTACTGTTGATTTGAGTGATATTCTGAACAGTATGTTATAAATCGGACCATTGTAAGACATAAACAGAAGTAATACAGTCAAGACTAATTTACGGCTGGATGGGCCTCTTCGTCTTCAGGCTTGGTCTTTCCAAATGTGTTGCTGTTCGGGGGGAGGGGGCAAGATGCACTCCCCGAATGAGCGGTGGACCCGAATCGGAGTCCAACTGACTTTCCACTGCATTTCCATCCGCCTTCGACTTCATTCCATTACCACAACATCACAAACTCAACCATCAACGCTTTCATCCACAACTTACAAGAAACCCCAATCAAATATCATACAGCATGGCACCCACAGGTTACCCCGTACCGCCCCCATCTTACTCTGGACAACAACCCAAATCTCCCGACCAGGAACCACTCTTGCCTCCCAGCTCGGACCACATCGACAAACGTCGTGATGGGGCCGCTTGGGGACAGACCAATCTCAGGAACTCGTGGAGCGACCAAGCTCAGCCTGGCGATATCCCCGAAGATTTCCTTATCGGCGTCACCGTATCTCAATCGAGTATCGAGATCAGGATGGCATTCATTCGGAAGGTCTAGTGAGCATATCTCTATGTAACTTTTCACACTCATCTTCCATCAGTTCGGCCGACATTCAGGCAGGAATCCTGACGCTAGGCCACCTTGCTGCTGTTTTTTTTATGTTTCTCCGGCTTGCAGTTCCATTCTTTTCCTCCAAATTGCAGCTACGACGATCGTTGCCAGTTTGATGCGCCTTGACAGCTGCCGAGCCTTACTTTTGGCCCACTCCTGGGTCATCTTCATCCCTCTCATCGGCGCCCTCGTCAGCATGCTGGTGCTGTTTGCCAAGAGGCACTCCTCGCCCGCAAATCTGATCCTGCTTGGTCTCTTTACCGTACTCGAAGCGATGGGACTTGGTGCCGCAGTGGCCTTTGTGGATACGATCATCATCCTTGAAGCCCTCGTTTTGACTGGATTGGTCTTCATCGGCTTGACCATGTACACCTTACGTAAGCCCTAGCTTATCATCCGCTCACCGCTACAACGTTATCTAATTCACTGTTTGGACTTTGCAGAATCCAAACGCGACTTTAGTGGTCTTGCTTCTTATTTGTACACTGCCCTGCTGGTGATGATCTTTTCGTCCTTTCTCACCGTCTTCTTCCCTCTCAGTCGGACGATGGATGCCGTTTATGCCGGGTTCGGAACACTCGTCTTTTCGGCCTACATTGTGTACGTGGTTACCTTCCAATAAGTTTTAGAAAAGCTGACATACTGAAAATTAGTTTGATTGATCGTTCTGCTTCAATAGCTTTGACACTCAAATGATTTGCAAGCACCTTAGTCCCGACGACTGGGTCGTTGCATGTGTATCGCTATATCTTGACGGTGTGAACCTCTTCAGTAAGTATTGTAAAAGATGGCGACACACTCTCCCTCTGGTCATGATGTACTTCTACCATCTCTGTAGTCCTTGAGCTAACCACAGCATCTTTTTCTTCTCCTATTGCCAGTTAATATCGTTCGCATTCTTTCTGACCTCCAGGAGCGTTAAGCAAATACAAAACGAGATGGTCTCTACGAATATGGTGGTCTGCACACATGTGCACGCAAAAAAACTCACCATTTATCCGATACCGCAGAGAAGGGTTTATTCAGAGATGGATGGGCTCCCACTCAAATGATTTGCAGGACTTGTCCCTCCGAATTGTTGCTATCAACGCATATGATCTATGTATCTATCCACCTGGCCTGCTTACATGTTATTTGTTCTTTTCCGTCAGCTTATCTCTTTTGTCTCGCTCTTGTATGAACGTACACATGCACACGCCACATCGTTCGGCCCTCTAAAACTTGTTCAAGGCTGGCCAGCCAAGGTTCCTACCCATGCATCAGTTAACATGTAAATCATTCTGCTCTCTATCCTGCCCAAGCATATCATCTTCCAGGACATGGCGGGATCACCCTTCCGCCCATTTAAAAAGTGGAGTTTCAAGTGTTTTCCCGAAGCTCCTTCCTGCGTGCGGTAGCTTTCAACTTTGTCGATTTCCAGTTGTAGTCCGTGTTACAGGTCAAGATTTTGAATCAAAGGTTCCGTGTCACGTCAGATTCTCTTGATCGTTTGAAACGCAATGATTTTGCACAGCTTTTAATCTTGCTAGTCGTGTACACAGAGCTGGTTGAGGGATGACCTTACTGATGGTTGATTCAGCTCCACCCCTCATCATCTCACCGATCCAAACCGCAAAACTTCCAAATCATTCTGACTGCAGTGCGGCGTTGGAAATAATCAAACACCATCCTCGGCCTTGCTCACTCTTGCCATTAACACGCCTCAAACGACATGAAGATTGGCAATTTCATGCACATTTTTCTTAGGTTGACAGTTGGTTGCATTGCCATGGATGAACTGTCAGATGGGGTTAAGGATGCGATTTCCCATTGTAATGGTGAGCAAGCGTATTCGCATCCGCCATGTATCATATAGCTCACGTTCCAAGTAATAACGATTCAGGCATGGAAGGCGGCTTCGCCACTCTACAATCCATGGACTCCTCCAGGTTGGACCCTGGCTGCTCAACGGTTTCAGAGAAAGCTTATAAAGAAATGGACTTGCTCTCAAAACTTGAGAGTCGCCCCTGCAACTCTCAACCTAGCAATGATACACCATATATCAGTTGTTTGTCGACTCGTGGAAACTGGGGGAGAACGCTACTTAACTATCCCGATAAGGAAGCTCACACTGAACCGAAGCTTGATAGGCTTTCTGAAAGTTACATCCGAATCCAATCACGGAAAAGAACTCAAGAAGAAGGCCTATACATGAGCTCCAACTCTTTCATCAGATCCCAAACTCCACCGACTACACTTGATTTGTTGAAGGGATTCGGAAAGCATTCATTGCCTGAGGCACCAGCCGTCCTCAAAGAAAGCCCAGGACAGGATCAGGTTTCTCTTAAAAGTAGAAAAACGGATAGGAACACAGTTCACATATACAATGCAAGAAATTCACTTTCAAATAACCCCACTTGTCACAATCAAAAGCATGAGAAAACCTGCGGAAATCAAACCCAATTTCCAGACGTGAAAAATGTACAAGCGGATACTCCTCCACCAAGATTGTATTCCCAGGAGAGAGGCGCAAATGGAAAAGCTTCAAATCAACAAGGGATTGTAGCAGAAAGCAGTCATTATCCCCAATATGACGATTGGTTGATGACTCAACCCTCAAGTGCATTGAACCTGCCATTTCTGAGGCTTCAGTTTGATTATGAAGCCCTTACAAAATCGGACCCACTATCAGAAGATCGGATGATAATTGATGCTATCAGGAGGTGGAATTGGGGCTCAATCATGATCATTGAACCGACAAGATACCATGATGCCTTACATATGATGAAAAACTGTTTCATCATTATTAGAAAACAGACCTATGTTGAATTGAAATACAAATATCCAAGTAAAAACCCCAGATCAACCTATCAGAAGAGCTGCTTTAAAACTCTGTTGGACAATCACCCTCAATGGTTCAAGTTGTGGTATATAAGAACTCAGATCAATATTGAAGAAACAATCCCCAGGGATGCACCTCGAAAATTCAAAAGCATCTTCTTATTGTTCATATTCTATGTTGAGATGATTGATTCAATCATTCCCAAGAATCAAGAAAAATATTTACTTGATCATGACTCAAGATTATTTAAATCTGCAATCAACATATTCCAACCAATCCAAGAAGAAAATCATACAACAGTAGCAGAGATGAATAAACAGCAAATGAACCAACAAATCAATGATAAAATGAAAGATATTAAGGGTGATTATGAAAAGATCCTTTGGAGGTGGTTGAAGATTTGGATTAACAAGTCAAGAAGAAATGATATAAAAAAAAATTTCTTTCTAGATTCATATTCAACCATTGCTTTTCAAGTCTTCTTCAACAAAATCTTCTGTCTTTCAATTGAGAATTTTAACAGGCAATTAGAAAATGAAATAACAAGGAAATAAAATATCACTATACCCTAATGACAAACAAGAGTGTTATTTGAGAACCATTGGAAATCTTGATAGTCTGTAAAATACAGAATTTCTCTCATCCCTTTGTTTGAATAAGATTTTTCAATTCTGGCTGGTTTTCATGGTAGGCCATGGCTCCTCAATTTATTTACCTTTTAATTTTCTCTGTAAACATTATTTGGATATCCCTTCTATACCTTCACTCCCCCTCCCCCCATAAACTCATCATCAATTAAAAAATCATCAGTGGCAGAGATGTTTTGATCAACAAAACACATATCATATTGGTGCATTTTTCTGAAACCTTCCAAGTATTTCAACAGGAGATCCGGCACTTGAAGTTGTCATGAGTAATAAACATGGCTGTAAAATTGCCTGTTGGGTAAATTTTATCTATTACAGTTTATCAATCGATGTAAAGAGCAAACAATGTATTGCAATTGAAGAGCTCAGTTCACAATAGACAGTCCCAATGGCTGATTAGCTTGTTGAAGGTTTCTGGCAGTAATTATTTTTAGGATGATCTGATGATGCTGACTCTGGACCATGTATCTACTAGTATGCATGCAGTGTTTCTAAGCATGGGTGATTTGCTGATTACAGCTTAAATCTTGCTGATGACAGGCTATGTGAACTGGGCTGATAATCACCCTCACATTTATGGTATCAAAGTTGAAATGCATGAAATCATAGAGTGCATAAGATTATAATGCACATTTTTTTGGTGAGAGTTTCCCACTTTATGATCAAAACTCCTGCCAAAAAAAATATATATCATAATCTTATGCACTCTATGATTTCATGCATTCCAACTTTGAATACCATAATTATATGGATGGTTCACATCTAGCATTTCAGCTAGTTTGCTGATCAGCCACCAGCTTTCTGTTATAAAAAAGTGGTGAATCTTGGCTGGGATATCCCCATATTTTAGAAGATACTATTGACCAACAACCAACCAGCAAGTTTTTTTTGTGCAAGCTATTATATACAGTATATTTTTACCACACCAGCAAAGTGGCTAAAGATCTGTTGAAATTTTCCTCTCTTTCTCTCTCTCTGCCCTTTACCATTTCTTATCACCTTAAATTAGACTGATTTAATTTCACCAAGTAGCTTGTTTTCTGGTTGTTTTCTGAGTACTCTTTTGAGTCAAATTTGAACCTTGAGAAATTAAGCTCAACTCAATCAATCTTGTCTCTACTGTTGTAATTTCTTCTTTTTCTGGTTTATTGTCTGATATTAAAAATTGGTTAACAAGAATTAATGCCTCTTGTTATTTGTGACTTAGAATATTTTCTCTTGACTAGCTCATTTGGCTTTTACTACAAGAGAATGAGAAGTAATGTGCAGTTTGTTATTTTCCAAGAACTTAATCTATTTTCTCTCAATTTTTTATTCAAAATACTTTTCTTTATTCATTTTTTCTTTCAACCACTTTTTGACCATTTGTACCTAGTCTATTTAATCTGGGCTAGTTGCAAGTGAATAAAATCATCGGTTCTTTACATTCCTTCACCTTGAACCTTTCCCAAAAAAGGGCCCCTGCCTTCTTTGTGCCACTTTCTCAAATTCCTCGACTTCAACCGGTCAAGAGCTCAAAAACTCAACAAGATCCAGATGTGAACCGTCCTATTGTATAGGCTAATGATTTTATCATTCTATCAACATTTGTTCCTGTAAGCAAACCCTGCATAATTTGGAACAACCCTGGGTGCAATACCATGGGCTAAATGAATTATCTGTTTCCAAAGTTTCTCAAGACATGGTACCAGTGTTTGTAGTAACATACATAATCAAAATCAAGTGTTTTACAAAAACAGATAGTTACATCATCAAACATGTTGCAAAAAGGCAATTTTTAAAGTGATGATGACGGAGGTAGAATGTCCCTGGCCCACATAGTATGTTACATGGAAAAACCAAGAACACCCGGTCGTTTTGCCTGGTCCGAGCGGGTGGATACATTTTCCACAGGAAGATGGAGGAAATGGAGAGGCCAAGTTTTGCCCACCGCAAACGACCCCCAGCTTCCATGCCAAAGCTTCGAGAGCAGATTGACTAAACGGGAGCCTGCCCGGTCTATCCAGGAAGCCCCCGGTTCCAGTCGGATAACCTGTGGGCACATCGGTCGCGCCCAACATCAAAAAACCAGGCTAACTTGAATTTCTAATATCAGCCCTGCTCACCTGCAGTGGAACACCAATATGACGGATGCAAATGTTCTACTTATCTTGTTTGCTTTCATAGCTATGTGCACCGCCATGGATGGAATCTGGAGTCATACTGACACTTTTCTTTCTCGCCAGGACGGTGAGCTACCCACTCTCACCACCACCTTCTTTCATAGTACTGTCAGACTGATATTTCAAGCGGCAACTAGGTTATGAAGGACATGGTTCCGCCAATCTACAAGGCGTGGATAGCATCAATGGGGACCATACAGGTGCCTCAACATTTCGAAAACCAGTCAAAGAAATTGACTTCCTCCCAAAAATTGGAAAAATTTCCGATAGATTAGCTCCGCAGGCTCACAGTCAACCAGAGCTTGAAAGACAGCCTGAACCTTATGTGCAAATAGCATCACGCAAAAGAGATCAACAAGAAGAGCCCTCTATGAGCTATGACTCTCTATCCGAATCCCAAAATCCACCGAAGACACTTGATTTGTTGAGTTCTTTGGGAAGGTTTTTGACGCCAGACAACTCAGCCATCCATGAGGAGACTGCAAGACAGGCTGCGGACAGTCGAACGACTTCAAATGGTGTGAACCCTTTTCAGATTGGCCATGAAAAAGATTTCCTTTCTATTCGACCTCCTTCTTCCTATCACGAACTTGAAAAGACTTTTGAAAATCAGGTCCGGTTGCCAGTTATGAAAAAGATTCGAATGGATATACCTCGCGTAGGATCTTCGTCATGCTCGCAAATTAACCTACCCGAACACCGTGACCTTTCAGGCCATAGATCGAGGATCGCCCTATCGAAAGGAAACGTAGCTCTTGAACCAGTAGATACTCGTCAACCTGCTTTGGAGCATAAGGAGATTGCGGCAGAAACTGATACAAATTCCAAAGATCGAAATTCCCTCGCATGTAAGCCTTCAAGTGACGATTATCACCGGTTTCTAAGGCTTGAGTTTGACTATCAGACTCTCAGAGCATGTAGCAAATTATCGGAAGATCGGATGATAATTCTAGAAATTCAGAAGCTGAGTCCAGGAAGAAGAATTATCATTGAAGAAGCAAATTTTCAAGATGCTTTGGGATTGTTCAAAAACTGTTACCGAATTATGACAAGGCAATCACCACATGAATTCAGGAGGAAATTTCCAACAACAGACCCTAGAAGATACTACTTCAAAATCCACTTCAATGTTTTATGGGATCATGAAGCTGTCTGGTTTTCCTTTTGGGATCAGAGAGCCAATTCACTTGGACTTCAACTTGCAATTCCCACTCAACAAACAAATTCCACTAACTTTATGAGATTGAGAAAATTATCATTGATTTTCTTATACTATGCTGCAATGATAGATAGCATCATTCCCAAGAATGGAGAAAGATCTTCAACCTTATACAATCATGATTCAGAATTCTTTCAATCTGCAATCATCATCATTCAAACCATCAAAAACTCTCATGAAGATTTTTTAGATTTGGAAGGTTTCACTAATTATAATAAAACCCTTTGGAAATTGTTGAAGATTTGGCTTGATAAATCTGGAAGAGAGAATGTAAGAAGCTTCTTTTTCAGCAATCATCATTCAGCTCAAATCTTTCAAATTTTCTTTACTAAGATTTTTTGTCTTTCAATTGAGAGTTTTAATGGAAAGCTATTGAAGGAACTAGGTCATGAAATATCATGAATAATCTTGAGAATTTTTGGCAAGATTTGTATCCTCCTTAAAGATTCAATGTGCTTGTTTACAAAGAAATTATTTCAATGCTGTAAAAATGAGTCCTGATGAGATAAATTATCAGAGAAAAAACTTACTCAAACTACCTCTGCATGGAGCAACAAAGGAGAGACAAAGGCCATGGGGTACATGAGGCTGGCACATGAGACCAGTACCCAAGGCAGAGTAACAATGCAGATCAACAAAAATAAAACCTTCCAAAAATATCATCTGGCCAGTATTGCTCTGTATGTTCCACTGTATAACAAAAACATGAAAATAGTCTTCATAATTGAATTGTCCATGCTTGCATTCTTTGATTTACTCCTCTCAACAACAATGAACAATTTCCATCAACTCATCTAAAGCCATTGATTTCATTTCAATTTGCACAGTGATTTGTATTTTCGTCCTGCTGAAAAAAAGACATTCATCAAATGAT